AGAGAGAGAGAGAGAGAGAGAGAGAGAGAGAGAGAGAGAGAGGAGGCAGTTGTACTGGAACAATTATACAAAGAGAGAATGTGGTGAAGACAGAATGAGAAGGAGCCAGGAAGGACATTGCAACAAATTGCCAGAATTAGTTAGTTTAAGGCCAAACATAAAAATTCAATGAGAAGCCAAGAGAAGCCACACTGGATCATCTCTTACAGAGGAGTTGAAACCAGAACAGGTGAGTTGAACTAGCCTGCCGAAGTTCAGAAAAAATTACAAAGGCTGAATTTCTTCAGCAGTAAACCTCTGAGAGGACAATTGCATCTAGTAAATGAACGTTACTCTTGCATTAATTAATCAGAACTTTCTTTCAAATATTACATCTCTGTAGATGCTGTAAAAGAACCTTACTCTATCATATTCCCAATGTGCTGTAGCCTCTATTCTGATGTTATAGTAACTTTATTTTTACATATGTTTTAAATAAAAATATACTGCTTCTGCTTCTGTTTCTGATTTAAATAGATTTTAAAAAGAATGACTGAAGCAAAACGGTGAACGATTTTCTTTTACAGTTCTTTATAACATTTATAGCTCTTCCAATGTCTTGTGTTGGTAAGGTCTCTCTTGTTTTATGTTTTGCCTGAAGAACTTTTTAAAATTTTCTGGCATTGCTTTTCTCCTAATAGTGAAAATATTTGTTTGTGAAATCTTGTTTTCAACTGTATAAACTCTTCCCCCCATATAGAATTAGGGTTTGGCAGAAATTTTTTTCCAATATTTTGAGGATGCTTACTCTATCTTCTTTATTTATAGAATTTTGCAGAACAATTTTCATTATTTATCTGCTTGTGAAGTTTATACTTACTTAGAAATTTTATTTTTATGGGGAGTTTAAATATGACACATTTGTGTGTGTGTGTGTGTTAACAATTTTGATTTATTTGTTGTCATTATTTTGGGGAAGATTTTAAACCAGTGTTAGATTGAATATTCTTTTGATACTCTCTTTTATTCCCTTTCTTTTCTCGTCCTTCGAGAGTCTGACAAATCTGCTCAGTAGATCCTGGATGTTCTTCCTAGCCTATGGTTCCTCTCACTTCACACTTTCTTTCAGTTGGTTAATTAATACTGAGCCTTCTTTACTTCCAAACACCATTGTCTGCTTCTTGGATTTTCAATGGAATCTTTCCTTTCAACCTAGTATTGCTATTTTACTATCTTAATGTTTTTCTTTTTGCTAAAAATTATCAGATATCATTTATGATTTTTTCTCTTATAGACACAAAGCAAGTAACCAACTCAAAGATAAAATGTTCGTGTAGATCTCCTGTTAAATATTTTCTAATCTGTGCCATATTTGTAAGTTTATGTTAATTATTTTCTGGGGGTATGTTTATTTTTTTCTAGCAATTAACTTTCTAGATTTTTGCAGAAGATACACATATGGTGGAATATCACTGAAACTAAAATGAATTTTTCTGTTTGGAAATAGATATGTCTTTCATTCGTTTGGGTATATTTGTGTGAGTCTAATAAAAAATTGGAGTTGGTTTGAAGGTTTCTGAAAACTTTGGTTGCTGTGGTTACCCAGAGTCCATATTGGATTTAGTGTGAGGGCTGAATGCCAGCAGGATTTTCTCAATGTCTGAACAGCACATTTCTTGGTACACTTCAGAGGCCAAGTTTCTCTCTGCATCTCTGCCATTATCTGTGCTATGACTGAGTGCTTGAAAAGAGCATAGAGCTGCATCATTATGTTACAATACAGCCTCAGGTTTTAGACTTCATCTCGTTCCAGAGCCTCAAATATAGTGTTAGCACCTATACCTGCTTCTTCTCCAAGTTAGGGGTCTGACTTATACTCAGCCTCTTCCTTGATCTTGAGATCTTATTTCATGCGTTCTACATGTACTCTTGCCTCATTTACAATCTGGGTACTCTACTAGTACTCTGAAGATGGGATAGGTTATGACAGGATAAAGAGTTTGCCAAATAGGAGGGATATGAGTAGAGTCTGGACAGTTTTCCATGTTGACCACAGCACCTGATACCCTGCCTCCTATTCATGAGCCCTACGTCTTGTTCATCTGTCATATTCCACCAAGCAGAATTCATCAGGACAGCTGCCAGGGTTCATTGTGTTGGGTGCATGGTGAAGTTCTCGCAGTAAAGAAGTGTGGCATACCCACACTTAAGACTTCAGTGTTCCTATACTCATCCAGCAGTCTGCACCCATCCCCTCATATGCCCATGATACTTTTCCTTTTCCCACAGAGATAATCACTTCAAAATCAGCAGAGCCTGTATCTCATCCCCTCCTTGTATGCTGCGACCATTCATTACTTTCCCTGAAAGTTTCTTGAAACTGAAACTGCATAGATTACACTACGAATTGAGCTTTAAAAACAAACAAACAAACAAATAAACAACAACAACAAAACTAGGGTAAAAATAATGATTTGTGTATCCCTGATCTTCATTGGGGAAAAGCAACATTGATTAAATTCAATACTCATGTGCTTTGAAATGTACCGAGTCCAACATGCAACAAAACAAACAAATAAACAACAACAACAACAAAACTAGGGTAAAAATAATGATTTGTGTACCCCTGATCTTCATTGGGGAAAAGCGACTTTGATTAAATTCAATACTCATGTGCTTTGAATTGTACAGAGTCCAACATGCGACAAACCATGGTGAAAATAAGAACTAGAGGTGTGCAAATTTACACAAAGAAAACAATGGAAAACTGTAGAAGAAAATGTGAAATAAAGTAGAAGAAATAACAGTGAGGAAAAAGGATGTCTTTCCATCTGTACTTGTTTTCTTAGATGCTCAACTCCTGCGTGGACAGGTTCTTTTTCTACCACTTGAAAAAAAATTTAGTTCTATTCCCCCTCCTCACCCCCAAATAACCAACTTTCTTCTCTGAGCTTCATTTAATTACTCCCTCTCTCCTGAAGTGCTGAAATCTGTCACCAACTCTACCCACAAATTTATTAATACTAATATCTGTGACATTTATTCTCGTTGGCTAAAAGTCTTACATATTTTTTTCCTTCTTGATGTCTATACATGGTCCTCACAACCTCCATGGCTCCTTCTTTCTTTTTCCTCACTGTTATTTCTTCTACTTTACTCCACATTTTCTTCTACAGTTTTCCTTTGTTTTCTTTTTGTAAATTTGCACACCTCTAGTTTTTATTTTCACCATGGTTTGTCACATGTTGGACTCTGTGGTAGATCATCTGTATTACTGAACTATGCTTTATGGATCTTTGTAGTCATGAAACAGGAGTATTACCATCAGCATTTCCAGAGGAAGGATAGTACGTTTCTGGAATAAGGACAGAAGTTTGGTCAGAATGAAAAGCTGTGTGATACCATAAGTTGCACATATTTTAGCATTCCATATGGAATGGGGGAGCTAGTATAGTCCCTTCAATTAGTTTTCTAGGAGAAAAAGGAGCAAGCCATAAGCATTAACCTGAACAACTGTTGTCACAAGCAATGCATAAATCAATAAACAAGCATCTCCTCAAATAGGAGACCTACTCATTAATTGATCACTCTACTTGCATGCTCCAGAGGAGAAGAGAAGGTGTTGTCTTGGACACAGCAATGTTTGTTAGCCATGGATGATCTGTGTCTGGAGTCATAAACCTGTGATATTTAAGGTGAGGTTTTATTTTGCTCTCAGAAGCAGAAAGAATGAATGCTTTGTTCCCCAAACAAATGGGATTTAGATGACTACCACAAAATCCTTTCAAGTGTGACCTCAAATCTAAGCTCCTTTTGGACTCTGCCTTGCACAAATATTGTCTCCATGTCACAAAGGAAAATGGGAAAATGTATATATTAGCTACCCATAATAAGGAGAAGTGAGAAAGGAAAAGAAGTAATATTTCAAACAACTGTTACCCAAATTGTCTCCAATTGTCTACCACAAAACTTGAGATCAAGAAACCTCAGAGAACAGAAGCAGAATAAATGTCAGAAAAGCTACATATTCTGAGATCTATATTGTCAAATACAGAAAGTGAAAAGTGAAAAAAATTTGAGAGAAGTAACTTCTCTTCAGAGGTTACAAAAATGAGAAATCTAAGGTAAAATATTGATAGTGTTGTAGGAAAAACCAATCAGCTTAATATATGTGCTACTAAGGTATCATTCATTTTTAAAATATGGAATTCTTCAAAAATTTGCAGACTATCCTTGACTGGGAATCTCTCTGATCTTCTCTGTATGGTTACATTTTCAGCATCTGTGCTGAAGAAATGAGCACTAAAGTTATCTTTCAAAAGTAAAGTATAAATAATGAATGGCAAAATATCTACCTTTCATCATAGACCATTTTGGAAAGAAATACAAGAGAATAACTGGAGAGGAAAAATGAAATATTACTGTGTAAAAAGAGCGTTAGATAAATAGTCAAGTTATAATAACTTCACTCATTCTTAGTTATATTTGCCTGATCTGAAGCATGACTTTATGATAATTATGCATACTATGTATTTTACTGCCCATCATCATGTACTTATATGCTTATAATTGGAATTAATTAAGCCATTGAGTCAAGGGAAATAGAGCTGGATTAGCTCTAAGTTTTTATTATAATTTTGGAGCAACCACTAAAATAAAACAAAATTTCAAAACATGATAAAACAAAAGAAAGATGATAAGCCAAAGGAGACAAAATGTATTCATCTAAAATTCTATAGCAAAATCACAAAAATCAGGTGAAGAATGACAATATGTAAATGTAGAACAACAACAAATACATCACACGTTGATCTAACTATAAGAGCAGTCACTTTAATACCAATTGTTTGACTCCATCATTTAAATGCATTTTAACAAAAGTAAGACATAGAGCACACCAAGACATCGTCTACAAGAAGTACATTGTGATCAACCAGACCATTTAACACAAAGTTATCAGTCTGTAGAGATACACCATGTTCTTTCTCTCCATGTTTCTCTCCCACTGTACCCTTTTCCCTTTCCATTCTCACTTGATTCCTCTCTTCCAGACCCCCTATTCATCTATAACCATCTATTCTATTTCCCTTTCTTAATGAGATCTATCAGTTCTTTCTAGTTCCTTACTTATTAACTACCCTTTGTGTTTCTATGAATTGTAGCTCTGATGTCATTAATGGAACAGCTAATATGTACATGTAAATTAATATATGCTACATTTGTCTTTCTGTGTCTGGGATACCTCACCCAGGTCTTGTCTGACTTCAGTGTGATATTGTTTTTAACCTTATTATATTTTAAAAGCTGAATGAAAGAATGAATGAATAAATCTGAAACCTAGCCGCTAGGGTAAAGGTTAACAACAGGATTGACATTTATACCTCCTGGGAGAGGGAAATCATATTTCTCCAATAGAAAGACAAAGGATATAGTAATCACTTCCAGGCACTCCCATGTTCAGGAGAAGTTGACCACAAATAATGTACTCCATTTTCTTTGAGAGTGTGTGATTCTATTTTTTAATTGGTTATATTTGGGGGAGGGGAGATATAGTTTTGTTTTCTAGGTTTTGTATATTTTGTTGTATTTGGATTTTGGTTTGTTTTCTGAGAAAGATCTTAAAGTTGGCTGGGTAAGGGGAAAAGGAAGGTCTAGATAAATTTGGGGTGGGATGTGTTTTTTTTTTAGGTTTTGTATATTCTTTGTTGTATTTGAGTTTTGTTTCGTTTTGTTTCGTTTTCTTTCATGGAAACTGTTAATGTTGGCTGGACAGAGAGTGGCAGGGAGGGGAAATATAATCAAAATATATTTATATTTAAAAGTTACTTTAAGTAATATTTAAAAATTAGTCCATGTGAGCACTAAGAAAAGGAAAGAGGAAAAGGCTGTGCTAGTTTAGGGCAGAGGAGCCATCAGAGGAACAAGAGGCATCCTGGCTGAGAAAATGCCTGTGGGTGATAAATTAAGACATGGAATTACTTAATGGCACATACCCAGCAATAGGCTAAAAAACTATGTGAGTCAAACTTTTAAATAAACATATATATATATATATAAAATATTATATATAATATATTATATATATATATAACTTATAAATATATATGTAATAAAATATCATCCAGGTGAAAGTAGACATCTTAAGATAAATTAAAAATCCACTTAAACAATGATAAATAATGACACAAATTACCAAAATCTGTGAGGTTCAGCAAAAGTAGCTCTCACAGGCAAGTGCGAACCACTGAACTAATATGTTAGCCAAGAGTAATTAAGTGTTATCGCTGAGTTTCCATTTTGGAAAAATAATTATAATATTAAATCCTAAATGATTGCCAAATGAATAATAAAAATTAGAGCAGGATGGGTTAAATTAAAAAGGAAAAAATGAAAGTAAAAATTGTTTTATATTTTATTTTCCCTTCTACCTTTCTTTATTGAAAAAATATTTTTACTTACAATATATTCTTAATTTGTTTTCTCCTCTGCCAAGACCTCCCAGATCCTCCCCATCTCCCCTCTCATCTGGATCTTCTTGTAAACAAACAGGCATCCAGAGAAAAATAATGAAAAAGATAAAATAAAAACAAACTCACCAGTATAGGGCAAACGGAACTGACGAACAGAAGTGTTGAAGAAAAAAAAGTGTACTTCTGTGTATCACACATGTTTCTTGTTTGTTTGCTTATTTTCAAATAACAGGAAATTGGTAGCATTTTACCTAAGCTGACAAACTAGCAAGAAAAATAATGAGGACATGAAGATCTAATATCAGAGGTTATACAGAGATTGCTACAATAGATACCCTGGGTAGTATGTGATTAAAAATGAACAGAGTAGCCAGCCATGGTACCGAATGCCTTTCGTCCCAGAACTCTGGAGGTAAAGGCAAGACAGATATCTGTGGGTCCATGCCCTGTCTGGGCAACAAAGCAAGCTCTAGGACAGCCAGAACTACACAGAGAAACACTCTCTCATTAAAAACAACCAACACAACACAAAACAAAACAAAATGAGCACAGTACAAAACTGTAATTTGCAAATGTAATAATATAGACTAAACATAACAATTATCCAAAGTGTAGATAATTGCTTTTCCTTATAAAAGCTTATAAGGAAAAGAAATGATATGATTAAATCTATAGATGTTAAATGAATTTAATCCACAATTAAAATCTTCCCAAACAGAAAACACCAGACCTAAACAGACTCATCTGTGAGTTTTGACAAACACCTAATGAAAAAGTACCTCTGAATAAAAATTATTCTAGCATCCCTTTATGAAGAAGATGGAAGCAATGGAAATACCAACTGAATATACTACAATCTTAAGACCTGACAGAGATGTTCCGAGAACAGGAAATTAGTATCACTTATAGCAGACATGCAAAATATGCTAGAAAATACTAGCATATACAACTTAAGCATGCATGGAAAGGATTATATACTACGGCCAATGTAGAATTTATCCCAGACATAAAAATCTAGTTAAACCCTGAAACATGAACTAACATTATTCATGTGACTATGCTACAAATTAAATGAGGCTATTAACATAATCAACAAAAGCATTTGGCAAAAGTCTGCATCCTGTTCACAGCAATAGAGACGAGCGACCACAAAGTCTATCTCCAAAACATTACAGAAAAATCAAAATTCTAGATGATAATTTGGGTTTATACTTGTAACATTTATGAGATAGAGACTATCCCTTCACAAAGTACTGAGTTTCAAATCTATCCTGGAAGTCCGAACTAACTCGACATGGCAATAAAAAGAAATAAAGCTTAGAGGTCGTGAAAGAGGAAAAGAAAGTGGCATTGTTTTTAGATTGGCTGGTTGTCTATGGAGAAAATCTGCAAAACTAGGAAAAACACATTTTGAAGAAGCAAATGATTGTAGCATGCATGCCTGAACAAAATTAAATTAGCTCCCAAATAGCAGATTCTTATATCTAAACCTAAGCTTAAATCTTTGTGGAAAACCACTGAAATGAAAGAAATAAAAGCGACTTTGTTAAAGCTGGCTTATTGTTTTGGTTATGACGATTCAATATTGTTGGCACATCATTTCTTCCAATCTTCATCTACAGATCCAGCATACCCTCAATCAAAACATCATCCAATTATATTGCAAAATCTAACTAATTCTGGGTAGTGCATACGGGGGCAGAAGACTCTTAATCGCCAATGCAATATTGAAGAGCAGTCTTACTAAACTGAAGTTACTCAGCTGTAAATCCCCCTATCAAGTTCCAGTAATCGCAGAGTGTGGTATCTAGGAAAGAACTGTCTAATAGATCAATGAATGACACAGAATAATGGGTCCAGAAATAGAGCCACATAAGTATCACTTACCGATCTTTGACAAAGTAGCTGATCAATACCACAGAAAAGAGAGGGAGAGAGATAGTGCTTTCAATCTGTGATTGATAACTTGGCATCCATATGCAAAAAGTTAGGCATTCACCTTCTCAAGGGGGTCACTTAAAATGGCTCAGAGACCTGGAGGTCAGATATGAAAGAAGAGAATGTGACATAAAGAAAAGTCCAGATGGCCTTGAGTTTGGTGACAACATTTTAGATACAACTGTAACAAGTTTTATAAAAGAGGATGTTTATAGTCAATCTTATCAAAATTAAAATTATCTGCTTTGTGGAAGAAACTGTCAAGCCAAAGATAAAATATTGCACAACATGGTGGAAAATATTTGCAAGATATGTATCAGAGAAAATGTTTGTCCTAAGTGTCTAAAGCATCACTGGAACTCATTAATAAGAGAACTCTTATCAAAATGTTGCTTTTGTAGTTTTAATTTTTCTTTAATTGAATGCAACTTCATTTAGTTTAAGAGAAGGGTGGCCTAGATAGAGAATATGTTCTTGTCACAAGGAGCTGAGTCTTGGCCAAACAATAGCAGCACAGCTTCAGTCAATCACAGGTTACAGCTCTCATATCATTCCAAAATTAAGGCAAATGCCAAGTCATAGCAAATCAAGGTATTTGTTTCCATAAGTAACCTGTTTCTGCTTACTGCCTACCTAGTTCATAAATGTTTTCGGTTTAAATAAAAAATGCTACATTTGATTTGTTTTAGGTGTTTCTTGTAATAGCTGTGGCAAATGGATGGGTTTATTCAAAGTTGCAGATGATGTGTGATTGCATAGGATGGAGGAGAAATCCCTAACTTCACTTTAAGTTTGCTATGAACCTAAAAGTACTTTAAAAAACAAATTCTAGTAAATATTTCAAATGCAAGAATTCTTATTGTGATAGATTTTATGGACTTTATTACCGCTAATC